CAGATGTAAACCACCAGTTAACTTTTAGAAACATTTGCTTTTATTTCACTATGGTCGGATGGTGGGTTATTCCTTTGTAGGTAATTGGGGGGCCTTTACAAGACAGTTCCATACAGATCAGATTAAAAATTTTGTCGTTTGAGGGTTCACAAGGTTCTACAAACTGAAACAAGGGCCTCAACTCTGTAAATAGTCTACAGAAATTGTTGAAATTTGACAGGCTTTTTCGTTTTAGTAATATTAATAATGCATATAAATTTCATACAGATCGGATGATCACTTTTGTCATTCAAACGTTCACAAAGTAAAACAAGGGCCATAACTCTAGAAATTATTGACGGAAATTGCCGAAATTCAATGGACCGGCTTCACAAATTTAAATGATGCATATAAATTTCATACATATCGGATGATAACTTTCATCAATCGAGCATTAACAAGGCAGAACAAAGTGAAACAAGGTCTAGAAGTGATTATTGTAAATTGTTGAAATTCAACAGGCTTTGTGGTTTCACTAATTTAACTACTGCATCTAAATTTCACAAAGATCGGAAGATCTTTTGGCGTTAGAGCGTTCACAAGGTTCAATAAAGTGAAACGAGCCATAATTCTAGACGTAATAAACGGAAATTGCTGAAATTCAATAGGATTGTTCTTTTTACTAACTTAAATGGCACATATAAATTTCATACAGATCGGCCGATAACCTCAGAGGTTAGAGCGTTCACATAAAGCAACAAGGGCCATAACTCTAGAAGTAATAAACGGAAATTACTGAAATTCAATAGGATTGTTCTCTTTACTAATTTAAATGACGCATGTAAATTTCATGCAACAAAATGAAACAAGAAGTGATTGACGGAAATTGCTGAAATTCAATAGGCTTCTTCGTTTCACTAATTTAAATCATGCATATAAATTTCACAAAGATCGGGTGATAACTATTGGCGTTAGAGCGTTCACAATGTTCAATAAAATGAAACAAGGGCCATAACTCTAGACGTAATAACGGGAAATTGCTGAAATTCAATAGGCTTCTTCGTTTCACTAATTTAAATAATGCATATAAATTTCAGAAAGATCGGATGATAACTTTTAGCGTTAGAGCGTTCACAAGGTTCAATAAAGTGAAACAAGGGCCATAACTCTAGACGTAATGAACGGAAATTGCTGAAATTCAATAGGCTTCTTCGTTTCACTAATTTAAATAATGCATATTAATTTAAGAAAGATCGGAAGATAACTTTTGGCGTAATAGCGTTCAGAAGGTTCAACAAAGTGAAACAGGGGCCATAACTCTTAGACGTAATGAACAGAAGTTATTGAAATTAAATAGGCGTCTTCATCTCACTAATTTAAACCACATATATCAATTTTAAAACAATCGGATAATAACTTTTGGAGTTAGAGCGTTCACAAGAAACTGTGGAGGACGTATAAAAATTGTCGACCATAAAAAAAATAAATATATATATTGTTTGTCAATTTTACAGCACACCTGAAAACACTTGCTCTGAGCTACGGGGAAGTCATTAAGTTCATAGAAGTGAGTATTGATACACCCCTGAAGACATCATCGTTGATGTCATTATTGAGATAGGCCATAATAAACAACCCTTCCCGATCATTTACTTGAGATTTCCAGCCTGTTGAACAAGGTACCCTCCTGTAATCATGGAAGGGGTGAATGCGACCGAAATGCATAAAAGTATGACCAATGTGTATTGGAAGGAAGCCCCTCAATAATCTACTGTTGCAAAATGGTCACCTGAGTTTAAGTGGCGGTCGCAGCTCCTTGGACGATGACCTACGTAGTATGGCAGCCCAGGCCCTCGAACTCCAACGAAGGAGATACCAATGTTCACCTTTATAGCAAGTTGCGAGTATTTCCTTGAATAATAAAAGTGGACGTGTGTCAGTCAGCATATATCAGGGGCCTGACCACATTAGCCCCCTTAAACTGGCCCTTAAAAACATGATGTATGAGGTGTTTTAATTATGGAAACAGTAATGACAGACAATATTGGGGGTAACACCACCCTGACAGACATACCCTAAAGGGGAGTCTCTATGGGTCTAGATCCAATATTGGAGATACCAATTAAAAATTTGTCAGATTAAGGGTCATTTGATAGTAAATCATCTACTATGAACGACAGACATTTTAAACAGTGCTTGCCCCCTGTCAGGCGCCCTCTAGTGGGTAATATTTATGTTTGTGCCAGACTCAATGTTTGAGATACCACAACAAATTGATTTCTATATTACCTTAGTGTACTTTGAATAAGTTACAGTAGTTGACAGATATTTTAAATGGTGCTTACCCCCTGACAGACGCCCAGGCAAGAAATCGAAAACTAGGCGAAGGAAAACATACAAAAAACACACATTAATCGGGATTAAATAAATCCCCTCAAAGATTTGGGAGAAAATGTCCCGAGTCCCTTTTTAATTTTGGCTTATATTTTTGAATTTCTAGCGCTTCTCGTAGAATTCTATTTTTCCATGTTGACAAGTTTCTGGCTAGTATGTCTGTATTCTCCCATTTTATTTTATGCTTTGGGTTTTGGTAGATGTGTTCTTCTTCTTCTTCTGGGGTTTTACGTCAACTTCCACCTAAGGGATAGATGTGTTCTGCTATTGCTGATTTATTATTTTCTTGTTTTATAACTGCCGTGTGATGTTCTTTTGTTCCTACTGATTTCTTGCCTGTGCGGTTAACCCTTTTCATCTTGTAGTTATGGTTTCACCTGCTAATTGGTGTTCAATTGTTATCTATATATACTATTCAAAAAAAGTAGGGGATATTTGATTTTGGGGGCATAATACTAAAATATGCAAATGACTACGAAAAAAGTCACTATAGAACCTAACAGAAGAAACATTTCCAGTTACATGTGACGCCCAAACGCACCAATAGCTACCGCATGGAATGCAGGTGATGCTTGGGATCATCATGGGGGTCCAACCCAAGATTTGCACGACTCTGACTTTGAATGTTACAGTCATTGTGGCATTGAATTCAAGGGTGGAAACATCAGTTTAATTGTTTTAGTGACCAGAAAACAAATTTTGATATGCGTCGGCTTACCCAAAATGAAAGGTTACGTGCCCTTGGCATGCTACAGATCGGCACAACACAGGCGGTTGTGGCGCGGACGATGAATGTTTCTCAGTCTGTCATAAGCAGGCTATGGTCCAGATACCGTGATACACAATCTGTACAGGACAGACCACGCTCAGGTCGACCAAGGGCGACAACTCAAGCCCAGGATCGATTTATCCGTACCTTGGCCTTGAGAAATCGTGTCATCACAGCAAATCAGATCAGCGCTCGTCTTCAAACAGACACTGGTGTGAGAGTGAGTGGCCAGACGATTCGGAATCGACTGCATAGGGGTCACCTTCGCGCCCGACGTCCTCGCGTGATCCCTTGTTTGAGAGATCATCACATTCAGGCAAGACGTCGTTGGTGTAGGGATCGTCAACACTGGGATAATCGACGCTGAAGCAATGTGATGTTTTCAGATGAGTCAAGGTTCACTGTTGATTTTTTGGACAGACGTAGGAGGGTGGCAGTCCATGTTGTGCCGTTCGCACGACGTCATGGCCGCCGTTTCATCTTCCAGGATGACAACGCAAGATGTCACAGGGCCAGGATCGTTACAGGTTACCTCCAACAACAGAACATCACCACATTACCTTGGCCAGCACTGAGTCCCGACCTCTCCCCCATCGAGCATGTCTGGGACATGCTTGGACAGAGGTTACGTCAACGTTAACAACGTCCTGCCAATGTCCAAGAACTTGCTGCTGCGTTGCAACAGGAATGGGACAATCTGGACCAAAATGACCTTAGACGTCTCATTAGGAGTATGCCACGTCGGATCAATGCTTGTTTGGCAAACAGAGGAGGATTTACCCGTTACTGACTTGGTTGTGATGCTGTGGTAACTTTGCTGTTTGACCCCGGGTATCATTTTACCCTTATAATGGTCAGTCTGTGCCTTACTTAGTCTAACGATCATTTGGAATAAATCGATGAATGTGAACTTCATTTCATTTTGTCATTTGTTTCTTCGTCAGTTTCATTAGGTGACTTTAATAACACTTAAAAATCAAATATCCCCTACTTTTTTTGAATAGTATATTACTATCTCTCATCTCGTTAATATCTTATAATTATTAGTTTGATCTGCTAAATTCAAATAATTACTAAAATTATCAATACATTATGGTTTCTTTCCCCTAGTTTTCGATTTCTTGCCTGTGCGGTTAACCCTTTTCATCTTGTAGTTATGGTTTTACCTGCTAATTAAGAGTTTAATTGTTATCTATATTGCTATCTCTCATCTCGTTAATCTCTTATAATTATTAGTTTGGTCTGCTAAACTCAAATAATTTCTAATTGTTATCAATACATTACAATCGTTCAATTTGTTAATCCTTTGTAATTGTTTATCCATATTATTACTTCTCTCATCTTGTTAATTCTTAATTAATGATTAATCTGTTACATGGTTTCCAATTGTTAACTATATTGCACCACATTTTTGTTATAAATCATTATTTGCTTGATAACGATATCTGTATGTGTATCGAAACGTAGCATGTTAATAAATTCAGAAGTAGTATATGCATATAAGTGTTTTTAATTCTACACTGGTATTCTGTAGGACTTTTTGCTAAGGGAGGGATAGGCAGTCTTTTTTCAAATCAACAACCAGTGGTGGGTCGTATATTTCATATTAAGACGGAAGATGCCATATGGGGGCTACCATGGACTACATAAATAACCCTAGGTGTGCGATAGCTTTTAAAGTAAAAGGGGCCTTTCAAATGTTTCCATTACGGGAGACATCACATATACATGTATGCCTAATTTAGCTAATCAGCTTGTTTCATCATGAGCCCTTGGAATGTGCGCTATGGCGAATTGCTTAAGAGATCACGTGGGAAAATGGCGGCAGAGGATTGGTTGAAAATGTCAACATAAGTTGCCCCAATGAAAATGGCAGCCATGGTTGTGAATATTTGTACACTCTAGTGAATTAAAAGGAATACTCATTCACCTATTTCAACGTTGATATATTTGTCTAAAGAATGAGACCATAACAGGTACGTTACTGGGCCTTATTCAGCGCATTTGTTTGCTGGTGTGCATCTAACTGAATGAAACGATTAATTGTGGTAGTCCTATCTGTCAGTTATCGCGTGCCAGCATATTCAACAGTAAAAAAAGGAGTAACTTCCGAATGTATATCGGAAGAATAAATGGTCTATTACTCAGCCTTGAAACTACATTAATTATCTGTTTTGGTACACAGGGCGAGGGGGAATGATTTCACCCGAAATGCATTCTGAATAATTAGTATTAGGCATACTTTCACTGCTGTAGTACTAGTAGTTCATAGTACCGCCGATGCTGGTTTTGTATTAAACTGCTAAACTAGCTAAGCGCTAGGGTCTAGCCATGATTTGTAGGTCTACTGTAGACAGTATATTAAAATACATTGTTACCTACCGGTATATCTTCGGGTGAATAAATAGACGTGAATTTGCTATGCATTAATTAATCTTGAAATTAATTGCTTCCAAATTATGACCAGATAAGCTTCAGACTCGTACATGTAGTTCATAAATACCGGTAGTCCGGACTATATAATGACTTTTGTTGACATAATACATACCACTTTTTTAAAGCAAATATTTTTTTTCAAATACGAATAATGACTATTGCTTACTTCAAACAAGTATTTGTTTTAGAGACTAAAAATACAGTTTTTCCGGTGATGATGAAAATCTTAATTACTTGTTGTATGAAATCGTAAATGGCATTTTAGGTATCACACAGTGAAAATTTTATGAAAATCGAATAATAATTGACACTTCTATGGACCCCAAACCATGAAAAGTGGCCTGTTGAAAATCGTCTATTTCTCCGCAACTGAACAAATTAGAAACCATTTTATCTACATATGATTGTATGGGTTCATTCTATTAGTTGATTGGAATCAAATATATCAAACTTTTAAACAAATACGACTCATTTGAATAAATTATTTGTTTCTAATGCTATAAATACAGTTTTTGGCCAAATTATGCCATTTCCGGTGACATTAAAAATGTTAAATTGGTTTGACCTTGTCAAAATGGACATTAGGCCTATGCATCAAATGGTGTCACTTTTATGAAAATCCACTAATAATTGACTCTTTTATTTTACAGGCAAAATAGCATAAAATGTGACTCATGCAAAATTGCCCATTTCTCAAAAACTGCTGAGATTACAAGCTAATTTTCACATACATTCTCTTCGTATGGATTATTGCTACACATGTATGAAAGTTGCGAAGAAATATTTTAAAATATGAAAAGCCTGAATGGGTTGTGAATAGCTCATTTTTTCACCCGTTTTCACCTTTAAATCGGAATGACCCGAAAATGAAAGCGAAATTAAAAAAACTGAGTCCGATCTTTTCTGTGCCTTTAACAGGACACACACTTTCAAATCATACCAGATTTGAAAAAAAAATATATTTGCTTTCAAAAGTGGTACTGAACTGTCAAAATTGTATTTTTTTCTAAATTTACGTCACTTCCGTTACCGAAATGTAACTTTACCGGTAACAAAAAAAAATGACATTGTGTATGGCTAAATTTTTAAAAAGGTCATCTCAAGGTCATGTGGGCGACAAGGTCAATTTCAAGGTCAAAGTAAAGTTTTTTTTGGTAAAAACATGTTACAAAAGATTAGTTTTCTAAAGGTGTGGTTCAATATCCCATACGTTTCTCCTTAAAAAATAATATTTTTATATTTTAGGTGTAATTTTAGTGTTTTGTTTTTTTTATAAACGTGGGGCATCAGCCATTATGGGGCTACAAAGAGTGTTAAAATGGACACAAAAATTATTTTTGAAATTGAAATTCATCACCCAATAATACATTCTACAGTAGATATCGCTTGTGTGATATATTTTATAATCTACTGCGATTGAAAAGGAACTACCTTTTTTTATTTTCAAAGAACAGTTCATTTCTTATTAAAAGTAACTTTTTTTATTATTAAAAATGAACTATTGTTATTCAATTGACCTTGATGGAAACACTGGGTCAATATAAAGGACTTTGCAATGGTTGACTTGCTGTCAAAAAATGATGTATCACTACGCCGTTATGTTCAGTAAAAGTGAAATCTACAGCACAGAATTATATTTATCTATTTGTGCATGTAAGAAGGGATTGGTTGTTAAATAAAATCTCCTACTGGTCTTTTTTGGTATAAAAAAAAAACTGGTAGGAGATTCTCTATATATCCAAAAGCCTTTACTCTCCCATGAATGTTTTTGTATTTTAGAGACATTATGTAGGTAGTCTTGCAATATCACAAAAGAAAGTAAAGGTTTTTTTGGTAAAAACATGTTACAAAAGATTAGTTTTTTAAAGGTGTGGTTCAATATCCCATACGTTTCTCCTTAAAAAATAATATTTTTATGTTTTAGGTGTAATTTTAGTGTTTTGTTTTTTTTATAAACGTATGGCATCAGCCATTATGGGGCTACAAAGAGTGTTAAAATGGACACAAAAATTATTTTTGAAATTGAAATTTATCACCCAATAATACATTCTACAGTAGATATCGCTTGTGTGATATATTTTATAATCTACTGCGATTGAAAAGGAACTACTTTTTTTTATTTTCAAAGAACTGTTCATTTCTTATTAAAAGTAACTTTTTTGTCCCCCGCCTTTCGAAGAAAGCAGGGGACTATTAAAATGGGTTCGTCCGTCTGTCTGTCTGTCCGTCACACTTTTTGGGACACAATAACTCTCCTTCTAATTGACCTAGAATGTTCAAACTTGGTGTAGGTGTTTATTAGGTCAATGCCTTGATGGAGTTCGAAGATGAGCATTTTCGGCTTAGGGTAAGCAGAGATAAGCAATTTGATTGGTTGATGCTTTGGGACACGATAACTTTAGTTCTAATTAAGTGAGAGAGATGAAACTTGGTGTATAGTTTCATTACATCAATACCTTGACTAAGTTCGATAATGAGCATTTTCTGCTCAGGGTAAGCAGAGCGATAAGCAATTTGATTGGCCGAGACTTTGGAACACAATAACCCTCCTTCTAATTGAGCTAGAATGTAGGTGTTTATTAGGTCAATGCCTTGATGGAGTGTGAAGATCAGTATTTTCTGCTTAGGTTAAGCAGAGATAAGCAATTTGATTGATTGATGCTTTGGAACGCGATAAATTGGTGTATAGTTTCATTACATCAATACCTTGACTAAGTTCGATGATGAAAATTTTCTGTTTAGGCTAACGAGCAATAAGCATTTTGATTGGTCAAACTCTTCTTCTAATTGAGGTAGAATGTTTAAACTTGATGTAGATGTTCGTCTTGACTGAGTTCAACAACTCTTCTTCTAATTGAGGTAGAATGTTTAAACTTGATGTAGATGTTCGTCTTGACTGAGTTCAATGATTAACATATCGAGCTAAAGCTAAGCAGAGATAAGCAATTTCCTGCTTTGGGACAAGATAACTTTGATTCTATCTGATAGAGAGTGATGAAACTTAGTGTATAGTTGATAATCAGTTTGATTGCTTGATACTTTGGAAAAAAATAGATGTGTCATCTATTTATTTGGGGATTTCGGCAGGGGACATCAGCCTCACTGTTGGCTTGTTATTATTAAAAATGATCTATTGTTATTCAATTGACCTTGATGGAAACACTGGGTCAATATAAAGGACTTTGCAATGGTTGACTTACTGTCAAAACATGATGTATCACTACGCTGTTACAGTTCCTCCCAAATTTTTGGGACCGAAATCACCGCGACGCGGTGAAAAAAAACTTCGGAATTCTCTTAGATTTCACGGTGAAATTTCGCTTGATTCCGCAGCGATTTTTCTCTAAGATTCGCTAGGAATTCACCGTGTTTCTCTAGGAATTCGCCGTGTTTCTCTAGGAATTCTGACACCGTGTTTCGATAAGAATACATCATGTTTTGCCGTGCTTCCCGCAAGAAATTCGAGAGCCTACCTTAAGCTAGGGTCGAACTAATATTGTCTATAATAAATTAAAGGAGTTGTAATATAGTAATGCTCCCAGGAAACGTGTACATGTATAATGTACAGGCAGGTTTGAATAACAAATGAGTTAGGTAATCTCGGGAAGACATTTACCGGCATTCTGTATCGGTTAGGATTTTTTCTCCAACGCACTTTATACATACATAACGCCGGCCAAAATGTATGCAAACTATGAACAACTTACAATTTTTTAAACATATCAATTCATCTTCGTTTATAACTTAGATGTAATCCGTCAATTTGGGGCTGCTATCAAATCCAAACTTAAAATTATATACGATGAGCTTTTACACATTACTTTATTACTCGCAGCTTCGGTTAATCTAAATCAATCATTCATACAGCACGTACAGTAAATCACTCAGCGGGTCGCTTAACGGTATGTTACGTGGTCAGAAACGCGCTAAACGATTGGAACTACATGTATATTCTTACGCTGTTTTACTCGGCGAATAATATCCGCTGTGACAATATACATCTACTTTATGTCACCCAATTCATTTCGGTGGGAGCAGATATTGAATAAAGCCATTTCACACACACATACGTGTACATTACATGCGCCTCATATATTTATACAATATCCACGAGTGTGTTAATTCTCGTCTTCACCCCGTTATAGTTTACTTATTTTGAGTACACTTTCTGAATGATTCCATTCTTTTGTACGTCCAACTTGTCGATTTCCTACTACATATACATGTACCCTGCAGTCCATGCGAAATGATATTTTTTTTACTGGACATTTGGGCAGGTATTAATCCAACTATTGCTGGACCGAATGAGATTTTACTGGTCCAAAAAAGTTCATACCAAAAATATGCATAAAATAAGTAATAATGGCCTAAAACTCGAAAAACAACAAACAGTATTTTCGTTCTATTGTTACTTAATATTATCTATGATACACGTAAATCATTATTATTTTCTATCAACAATAGCTTGGACTTATAATTAAATTTTTATCGCGCCAATATTTACAATCGTTTTTCTGTTCTATAAATAGACCGCGTAAAG